CACATTTGGCCATTTCTCCTTCTAGGCAAACTGAATGGCCAGGTGCACTGCTCAAAGTTCTGCTCATTGTGAGGATTTCCCTTCACCCCTGTCCTTTAGGGAGATCCCAGAAAGGGGCTGCAGTGCTGCTGCTGTCCACTTGGGAGTGGTACCCACATATGGTGCAGAGCTATCAGTAAAGCAAGCATGCATTTTCTGTTCTTCAGTTAACTTATCCTAGTGAACTTCCCTGGAAACCATAGATGCAGACTGGGAAAAGGAATGTACTATGACAGGAGTGGAGACTGTGGGCATTTGGGCCTCTTCTTCATGCAGCTTACTTGTCCCTTCAGGTCCTGTTCTGGCCCATCTCTTATATACCACTTCCATTTAACAATGGAGTGGTGCTGTGCACGTCCAACTTTATGACTCTGGGTCAGACAATATCCAGTTCATGATGGACCCCTCAGGCCTCGTGGTGACTTGGTGGCCCATGGTGGGGTGTTCAGTTCCTACTAAGGCCCAGTAACTGGCCAACAACTGTTTTTGAAAAGGGAAGTAGTTGTCTGCAGAGGATGGCAGGACTTTACTGCAAGATGGTCTATGTTGTGTTTCACCAATAGGGGCCTGCCAAAGACTCCACACTGCATCTCTATCTACAACTGACACCTCTAGCACCATCGGGTCAGCTGGATCATCTGTTCCTAGTGGCAAAGCAGCTTGCACGGCAGCCTGAACCTGTTGCAGAGCCTTTTCTTGTTCTGGGTCCCACTCAAAACTGGAGGTATTATGTGTTACTTGATAAATAGGTTGAAGTAGAACACCCGAATGAGGGATATGTTGCCTCCAATATCTGAAGAGCCTACTAGACATTGTGCCTCCTGTCTAGGTGTGTGTGTGTAGGGGGCAGATTCAATAGCTTATTCTACACTTTAGTAGGAATGTCTCAACATACCCCACACCACTGGACCCCTAGAAATTTTCCTGAGGTGCCTGAATCTTTATTGGGTTGATTTCCCAACCTCTTGCCCACAGATGTTATACCAATTAGAGTCCTTGATACATCCTCCTTAGTGGGTCCAATCAGCATCATGTCATCAATATAATGGACCAGTGTGCCCATTTTATGGAAGAGACAGGCAATCTAGATCCCTTCTGACTAAATTATGGCACAGGGCAGAAAAATTGATATGATTGATATACCCCTGGGAAAGAGTTGTGCAAGTTTATTGTTGCCCCTGCCAGCTGAAGGCAAACTGCTTCTGGTGGTCTTTCAAGACTGGTATTGAGAAGAAGGTATTAGCCAGATCCAGAGCTGCATACC